CTGGTCCGTGTTTAGCGGTGGGTCGGCTGAACGTTGAGCGTTTAGCAGAGGGAGCTTAAAAAGTGTTGGTGACTCGGGGATGTGGGACCCCGGACCCAGCAGGAGTGCTCTATCCATCCTTAGGGTGGTTTCTGACTGATTTTTCAGTCCCTGTAGTGCTAATAATTTAGCGAGGCAGGTAGAAAGTTAGTTAGTTAGTTGAATCCGATTGAGCATGTGTAGGATGCCTTAGGACACCGAATTCCTCCTCGGACCTTACGGAGCTGAAGAGTGCACTTTTCTGAGTGGTGTGCAATTTCACAAAACTTGATCAACACTTTGGTAAAATCTATGAAATCAAGATGTGAGGTATGCATATCTGTCCGAGGTGACCATGCACAATACTAAAGAAAAATTATTTTCAAAAGAGGTGACTTAATGTTTCCATCATTTCCCAGTTTCCATAAATTTTTGTTCTAATTTCAATATTTTGCCAATAATCAGCTACCAATCATGATAATTTATGTAAACTAATGCTTTTGTACGAATTCATATTAATAATTTTTCATTAAGTTGTAAAGTTGCGCGCTTCCAACTTGCACGCAACAAAGTGGTGACTGCTGAAAACTGGAAATTAGACAGAGTCTTGAGAAGGGTTTAAGTTCCTTTTTATTCAACTTTAGAAGTTACAAATGCGTGCTCTTGACGCTCACAAACTACGCCGACCCGGCGGTAAAATAAAAATAAGAAACTGAAAAGAGATACTAACAAGTAACTAACTACGAGGCTCTCTAAACGTAACTAACCTCACCGCATTTTTACAATACCGCTGATAATTCAGCAAACTCTGAATATTACGTTGAAAGATTAACAATTTGCCGAGGCAAGCACACAGGCCGAAACGCGTGGTTCTTCAATTTCTAACTAGCCACCTCCACACTCGTGAAGCAAGAAAGCACACCTTGGAACTCGTTTCCTTTCTATTTAACTCAGAATACTTCCGCTGATAATTTTAATCCTTGCGCGTTCTACTAAAATTTACATACTCTGGCATTGGCAGTTCCAGGGGAAAGTAAGGCTTGACAGGAAAGATAGTTTAAACTTAAAATAAATGTTAGTTAAAATAAATATAAACCCTACAAAATAGCAGTTTACGTTTTATTTCTATCATTATCCTTTAATTTTGGTGACCAGTGTATAAACTACTATGGTTACGTTAGTGTGCGTGTGTGTGTTTTAAGATCGCAGTAATGTAAACTTGCAGCTCTTAATTTCTGAACCTTGGAAAGGATTCCAAATGCACACTATGGCTCGTTTCACAATAAGGAAGATTACAGTAATCACGTGTTGCATGGTGTCATCTGAGACTTTTCAGGATGAAAAGTTATCTTTCTAAGAGATGGTTGTGGGCGGTGGGGACGGGTATTAATAGAAAACGCAGCTTGCTCCAACTCGCTGGACCGTATCCAAGTAAGCTCAACGAAGAATACGACAGATGCTAGAGCAATCTGTACGTTATTTTTAAAGTTAAAAAAAAAAAAAAAACTCTAATAATTTTTGTGTTGTTGCTGTTGCTTCCAAGCTGAACTATTTCCAGGTTTTTCTGTCTCAACAAAGCAGTTTCTTGGAGCAGCTTCCTAGCGGAAGCTCAACGCACTTTGACATCTCCTGATTACATAAATTTTTTCTGCAAGATTTACTTTTCTTTGACTTGCTTGTTTTTTTAAAAAAAAAAGCCTGCCGTAAACAGCTTTAAAAAGCTTTACTAAAGAAGTATCGAATCTAGTTTTTTTTTTTTTTTTTTCCCAACGCTTTAAGCTTGTGCATCACCTAATGCTAGAAACATAAAAGAACTAAACTTGCCGTCCTATGGTTTTCTAATGGTTCCCGTCGCCGTATCGTTGGATTTGCATTCTAATCCAGGAGAAGTCATGGATTCACATTTGTACAGAATCTTTGCTGCAGGGGTGGGAGGGGCATATTCTTATTTACATTAATCTCGTATTATTTCAATATAAATCAATGTGCCGTCCAGACGGTGGTTAGTGACAAGTATCGAACCAATGGCCCCAGGTCTGAATCCAGAAGAAGGCATAGATATTTGTATGTGTATAGTACCTGTGCGGTGCGGGTGCACTGAAAATATACAGGGAGCCGAAAATCCTCTCGAGTGGTTGGTTTTATGAGAAGAGGTGAGGAAGACTTTCGGACGGCCCCACTGGGTGTTTCACCTCAAAACTGAGATATAATTACACAGTTACGATGGTGAAACTATACCTGTACAACTATGGTGAAATTCTAGTGTCTTGCCCACTTATACCTGTTAATCAATGTGAAATAGAAAATAATGGTTGAACATTTGATTTAGTTTCATGACTTAAGCAATTATGTTTAACAGAGATTTAATTACGCTGATAGGGGAAGGTAGCCTAATTTGGACCGCTATGATATACAAAGACTGATGATATCTGCGAGATTTGAGATAGGGTATTTTGTTATACGTATATGTACAAGAGGTTAATGCAATTGTGTTTGTTAAGAAACGCCTCGTGGTTACATTGAGAGAAGTGTTATTCGTTTGGCTAAGAAGAAAATCTGTTATTTCGACATAAGTGTGAAAGCAGTTCATTCGTCTAAACGTAAGTAATTACATGTCTTATTATACCACTACAAAACTTGCTTATTTATCTACAATTTGCAATTACAATTTTGCGAGGTTATGTTAGTTTGACGTTTCTGTACAATATCAAGCCTTAAATATTCAAGTTTCCCAAGTTGAACCGAAAACAGTTGCCGAAATTGAACCGGTCCAATTTCGGCAACGACATTTTTTTTCATGGATAAATTATAATTAACCCTAGAATGCTACCCTTCGAAAAACTTACGGGAATGGCAACCATTCGTCTCCGAGACGAAGTATGCGTAAGCGTGCTTAAAACTTATTTTAAAAGCTAATTACAGAAATATTTCCGCAAGAAGAAAAATTCTTATCTGTAGTAGCCAAGGTTATACCAAAACTTAAAAAAAAAAAAAAAAAAAAAAAAAAAAAAAATCCACCAAAGTTTAACAAAATGGCAGAAACATAAAAGAGAAACTGGTGATTCATGGTTTTGTATATTATGTGAAGAAGCCAAGGAAGAAGAAATGATATAATGCATGAAATGTGACGTTTAAATACATACTCGGTGTGCTGGTGCTAGTGCTGCAAAAGGTTCTTTTGTTGTAATTGCCGTTAAGAAAGCTCATGGTCCAATTTAAGAAACTAGCGGTCCAATCAATGAAAAGTTTTTAATTTTGTATATATGTAAATAATCCTAGCGAAATTGTATGTGAAATTGTAGTAGCTTTTGTATAAGGCGATAAGGAAATGCTTCAAAAAGCGAAGCTCTGTCGGAAAAATAAGGTTACAGGCGCAAGTCTATATAACATTGAGGTAAATGGCTATCTCGCTAAATTCGCGAGATATCGCCAAGATGGCGATGGTTTTTGGCAACTTATTTTTGTCACTAAATGTGGCGAGAAAACGCCAATATCCGTTAAAGTTGGCGACATTTTAGTCCGGTCCCTGTATAATTATAATTGCTACTGTAACAATAACTGTTAGTTAATCAAAACAATATTGTCTATTTTAAAATAAAGAATTTTATTATTACTATTTTTATTATTATTGTTTATTTTTCAAAAGTGTGTTTTTGTTTTATTATTGCGTGAAGTTTGTAACTATATTTCTTTTCTTGTGTGGCAACAACGCTTGTGTAATTCTTCGATTTGTTCTTTTGGATGTGTACCAAAGTAGATGGAGTAATGCTTTGAGATTAGGTTAGGTTATTCAATTACGGCAAAGCCTCGAGGGATATCTGCCTAAGGGGAGGGATGCCTTCGTGGAGGACTTTCTAAGGGAAACTGGCTCGCATACACGTTACACATGGAAAAAACCACGAAAACAAAACCACGAAAACACCCATGCAGCCAGCCCGTTTGCGGGACTCGAACCTCGGACCGAACTACCAGTGTTCAGCGACTTTACCGCTCGGCCGCTGGTGGGCGAGTAATGGTTTGATGAGAGCGTCGGTTGATTGTGTAGATGAAACATGATGTTTCAGAATGTTATTTCTTTAAAAGTATGTAAAATAAATGTTTTGTTTTCTGAACTCGTATTATGCAAACGTTATTTAGTTTCAACAATAATTGATCCCTATATGTAACTATAACCATATCCGGCATTCATATGTAACTTTAATCGTATATGTCTTCCAGTTATTTCAATAAATGTAAAGTACTGAAGGAGATTACGAGATCTCATCTCCTTATTTAATTAATGGTAATGAAAACAATGTATGCTCGGACTTGAAATAATTAAAATATTGAAATCTGTGTAATAGTGCATTTGTAACAAATTCATAATTCAAATGTAATCGCAGGCCGCATAAAATTTCTCCAGGAGCCGCCATTTTGAAACAGTGTCCTAGACATTTGTTTTATACGACTGGTCTGTGACTCATTTTTCTGGCCGTCTGCAACAAACCTTTTCTTAAGACAGCGTCCGGCTAATCCGCAGTTGGTTAACTCGGCCCCGGTTAATCGGAAGTTGACTATATTTGCAGTAATAACAATCAAAAATAAATACTGAATTAATTTAGTTTTTCAATCATGCGACATAGCGTTATTTTAAAAGAGAGAACCTTGCCAACCTACAGCGGTAAGTACCTCTTTTCCGAAGTCATTTAATCCTTAAGCACAGAGTACGAAAACAATGAGCAGTCTGAAGGAAATACCACAAACACAAGCAGCATGGAAAGCGCGAATAGAAAAAGCAAACATTACTTTTTAAGACCACCTTTATCAGATATCCATTGTGATATGACGTCATTTTAAGAACACACATGGCCAGTTTCAATCATTCCAAGGAGAGTTCTAATCGTGTTCCTGGGTCAAGGCTACTTATCGTCTGCGGCGTGGATGCTCATCAACGCGGTCCTCCAAACTACGCGATGTGGTTTTACTCGTAACATTAAAATAGGAGATGGAGATGGTAACTTGTTTAACTGCTGGATGTCAACAAATTCGACAGCATTTCCGGGATTGTAAAGTTTTATTTTTGTATGAGAGAAGTAAAGCGAAGTTTGCAAGAAGTTTATAACGTCTGTTTATTTTTTTTTTCTGCACCGTAAGGTAAGAATGTGTTTTCGTTATTTTTTATATGGTTTGCGTTTACGTACATTATGTATAAGGTTTGTGTTTTTTTATACGGAATGTGTTTTCCTTATTAGCCCAAAGAGCCATATTAGCTCAGAAGAGTTATTAATTTCGTTTTGGAATTTTGCGTTGGTTCTCTTTTCAAATTGTTGCCACCAAATATTTGAGCCCTGTGTTATGTCTAAAGAAATTAAATAATGAAGAATCGACTAAAGTGCAGAATCGCCCACTTATCTGATTGGCGTGTGTTTGGCGCTTTTTACAAGAGTAAGAAGAATAGGATTTGGGGAAAGTGCAGAATCGCCCACTGCTTGGCACGTTTTTAAGAATTGCACTAACTCGGTATCCATGTGCACATAGACCTATTTTCACTTAAAAAAAATCCCAGAATTGCACAAAAATGGCATTGCGCACTCCCTTTGACTTTATCCCTGTACACATCGAACTATTTTCACTTAAAAAGTCAAAAGAATATTGAGAAAAATCCAATTCTTCTTACTCTTGTAAAAAGCGCCAAACAAAGAAGTGGACGATTCTGCACTTTAGCCGAATCGAAGAATCTGCATAAATGTATGCATGTTTTTCGCACTGGGATAAAACAACGGTACCTAGAGCCATTTATAATTTTCCTAAAAGTAATGTGAAACTTCACTCGTGTTCCTAAAGAGAATTATATCCGAAACTCATTAATATTTGTGAGATATATTTACGGAATTTTACTGACAGTCAAAATCTCTATTAACTTTAACATTTTACGCTAGAAGACCCAGCCTGATTTATAAAAATGAAGGCCCCTAAATTTTTGAATGGAATAAATATCTCTGGTTTAAATTATCTTTGCTTTCAAGGTGGTGTGGTGGTGTATTTAATTACGGCAAAGCACATTAGAGCTATCTGCCTAAGGGGAGGGATGCCTTCGTGGAGAACTTTCTAAGGGAAACTGGCTCGTATACACGTACACATGGGGAAAACCACGAAAACACCCATGCAGCCAGCCCGTTCGCGGGATTCGAACCTCGGACCGAACTACCAGTGTTCAGCGACTTTACAGCTCGGCCGCTGGTGGGCCTTTGCTTTCAAGGAAATTTTATGTAAAGCGTTTTGTAAAATTATCTTTACATTCCAACATTTTTCATTCAAAATTATTTAAACAAAAAGGTGCATTTCACTTTTTTGTATATTATGTTTTCCTAATTTCAATTCAGTGTGATTTGTGTTAAACTTGCATGCTTTACATACAGATTTTGTTCCCCTGCAGGAAAGGGCCGTAAGAAAATTGAAGCGAAAATGTATGCGCAAAAGCGCCAAATCTAGCAAACGCGCCCATTTAACAGCGCGCCAAATCTAGCGTACGCGTTGATTTCAGATTGCGTAAGTTTATATAGTTCTATATTTCTTAAGACGCCATTGACAAACTAGTTTAATTTTTAAATCCTTTTTTGATATCCTATGGATTTAACAATTTGGGAATTGCCCATGACGAAAAGTCGGCAGTAGAATTTTAGGTAAAGTGCAGAATCACCCACTGCTTGACGCGTTTTTAAGAATTACACATGCTCGGTATATGTGCACATCGATCTATTTTCACTTAAAAAAAAAAAACATCCTAGAATTGCACAAAAATGTTCGCACTTGCATGCACACCCTTGACTTTATCCATGTGTACACATCGACCTATTTTCACTTAAAAAGTAAAAGAAAATCGACAAAAATTCCAATTGTTTTACCCTTGTAAAAAGCGGCAAACAAATAAGTGAGGCGATTCTGCACTTTACCGAGAATATTTTCAAAGAAAAGGCATCATTCATTTATAGAAAATTACGTTTGAACAACCAACGAGATGAAATTATGCTTTAGCGATAAGTCGGTAGCGAAATAGCGATGCAGGCATCCATTCCGTTATGTTTAGCAATTTTTATATAAATTATAATAATGATCTGAAATAGTTATTTACTCTTATGCTTCCATTCAGTTATGTTTAACCTTTTTCATATAAATTATAATAATAAAATGTATTATATGAAATTAACCTTTCATCTAAATTAAAACATCAATCTTAGATATTTACTATTATACTTCCTTTCTTGCCGCAATTATTAGGGTTGCCGCAATTCTTTTTGGCAGCATTGGCACCAACGATAATTTGGCGATTTTTTACGGCCCTCGAAACAGAACAGTACCATTATACACAGTATTGTTACCTTTCATTTAAACTTATTTCCTCGAATTATTCTAACTTAATTAACCGATTTCTCAAAAGAAATTGAAAATTACATAAAAATCAAAAATTTTGAAATTAAATATCCCGGTCAATTTTTGTCATACGGGAGTCAAACTTCTTATAATTTTATTTTTTCATAATGAGTATGAAACTTTCTGAATTATAAATATAGGAAACGGGCGACATAACTAAAAGCTGATTTCGTTTATTTGTTGAAAATTATTTTTTAAATTTAAGCATTGCCTGAACGTGAATATTTTTGAAATTTAAAACACTTCTGTAACTTAAAGTATATGACTACGACCAACGATTGCGAATACAAAGGCTGGGTAAGGGGGGTTGGAACGTAATTATGTGTTTGTTCTGTTGATTGATATAAAAAAGGGAAGTGCACAAATACTAGATGTTATAACAGTACCATATACAAAATTTCGACGTTCTACGGCTAATTGGTTTTAAGTTATACGATATATATATATATATATATATATATATATGTTACGGTGAAACACCGAAATCTGGAGAATGTGGACTTTCACCGGTAAATGTCAACATTCACATAATCTCTTGACGTATGTCCGAAATATTTTCCAAATACTCTTATTTCTGACTTACACCGGTCAATGTCGACATTCACCATGTACTAATGGTGAATGTTAAACATATCACAATATTATATTTTCTTCTCCGTAATTCAGTCGCGAATAAACGCACTTGAAACTTGAAATAAGAACTTAAGAACATGAGAACCTAAAACACACAATGCATTCAAAATGAGGAAGGAAAATAATAGAAGTTAAAAACTTGTTTAATTACACAGTACGTTCTAAATGAGAAAATAAAATAACAGTAATAAAAAACTTACTAAATTATGCGATTCAAATCTTATTTATTGCAAGAACTTAAACTATTATGGCACTTTATGACCTCTCTTTTCGACTTTCACCGGAGCATATCTGTGATTGTCGACATACACCGGTGAGAGTCCGAATATACAAGAATGTAGTGAAATATTCGGTCTTTCACCGAGGTATTTGGTGAATGTTCATATTCTCCGGTGAAAGTCGACATTCTCCAATTTCGGTCTTTCACGGTAACATATACATATATGTGATGTATCAGCTTTAGTCGTAGCTTAAATAATCAGACGATAAGTTAAAAAAAAAAAAAAAAAAAAAAAAAAAAACAGGATCCATTTATTATTATTCAGGAGAAATAGCAGTTACAAAATCAGATATCCGGAGTAAATAAAAAGAATTACTAATAACTTTTTGTATGAAGTTTACTGCATCGTGACATTTAAGAAAAAGCCCCGATACTCCCCTTGCGAGTACTTTTATAGCCTCTGGAAAGGTGGAGCTTCAAAGAAATGACGTCAGCCAATCCAGTTCGTTTTAAATACTTCCAGAACATTCTACAACTGCACGTGTAGAAAAGGCGGGAAAAACAACCCGACCACGGGGCTGTGGATTTAATTCCACGTACTTTCAAATAAGAGAACGTCGCCATTAAAAATGAAAAGACATACAGTTAGAAATTTAAGCGTATTCTTGACTATGGAATTTTATTATTACAAATATTCCCCCCATCTGAAAAGGCTTGAAGCCGGGCGCCTCGACCACAAGACATAGGGAATTTTATTATTACAAATATATATATATATATATATATATATATATATACGTACGTAACATACTCACAAAAGAAATCCCTTTTGAATCTATTTTAAATCCGTTTTGGAAAAAGAGACCTTTATGCTGTCCATAGGTACAGATGTCAAACAACGTAGAAATCATCTAAATAGATTCCGGAAGGTGAAAGTGGATATTTCCGTTGAAATATGATACCCGATATTTTTCGCGTTCTTTTACTTCGAACGGTGAAGTAAAATTTAAACTCAAAAGTTTTATTTGGTTTATTTGATTATTACAAAGCACTCTAGAGCTAGCTGCCTAAAGGGAGGAATGCCTTCGTGGAGACCTTTCTAAGGGAAACTGCCTCGTATACACGTTACACCACTAATATAGCCATGAAGCCAGTCCGTTGGCCGATTAGAGCCTCGGACCGAAGTACCAGTATTCAGCAGCTCAAAGCTGTAGTTTTATTTACTAGAATTTGACAACGGAAGTTACAAGCTAATTTTTCACCATGCAAACTAAAAGGTCCTAAATGAGCCTGAAGAAAAGGTGTACGCATTCGAATCAGAAAGTTCACAAAAATGCTTTTAAAATTTACGTATTTTTAAAAGTCTGAAACAAAATTATATGTATTCCAGCAGAATAAGGCCATTAATAAGGCTGAGAAGCGAAAACTGCTTGAGAATGGTAGTTCATCGCGAGTTCCAGTCTAGGCAAACCGCCTGGCTGCATAGGGTTTCATGATTTTCTCATCTAATAGGCAAATACAAGCCTCTTTCTTTTCAAATGTATAACAACAGTTACCACAATAGCATCTCCCCTTTATCAGATAATAACAGGTATAGGATTTGTGCATCACTGGTATGGTGTGGTCATCAGCCTGTTAAATAATAGCATATTCTATGCTTTTTTTTTTCAAGCATTTAACAAATATTTAATACGTTAGACATTAAAATGACTGATAATTTTATTTTAAAGGAAAATCACTAAATTTTTGACTGAATTCTGAAAAATGTCGATTTTCTAAAAATTTGTTATAAGGAAAAAAAAGGTGGGATATTTTTAATTAACTTTTTTACTGGTGTCAATAATGCTAAGCTTTTCAAAATTTTCAGTTA